AGTTGTGGATGCCCCATCCCTGGAAGTGTTCAAGGCCAGGTTGGATGAGGCTTTGGTCAACCTGGTGTAGTGAAGGGTGTCCCTGCCCATGGTAGGGGGGTTGGAACGAGATGATCTTTAAGGTCTCTCTCAACCCAAACCGTTCATGATTCTGTGATGATTCTATGACTGTCCCAACAGCAGCAGAGTCACTGAAAATTAGAAGTTTTGGTACACAAGAATTGCCTTGACGTGTTTTGTAGCAGATTAGCGTTTATGCAGCTGTTTGTCCGTATGCCCGGTGAGAATGGCCACTGCTGGGCAATCATGCAGGAGCTGTGGGGTGGTGGCTGTCCCACTGGTGTCTGTCCCTGCCGGGTGCCCGTCCCCTCCTTGGCAGGCAGCACCATGTCCCGCAGCCTCCTGCCGCCGGAGCCAAGATGGCGCCCTTGGCTGAGCGCCTCTACCGCCGAGGTAGCTTTGGCCTCTTATCTGCAAAGTTGGCAACAGCTTCGTGCTCTGACACCCTCCCAGTGGAGCGCAGCTGGCAGAGGGGCTGCACAGTGACAAGTGCCTCCTGCTCCCTACCAGGGCCAGCCAGGGCTCCGCATCCCTCCGAGACCTGCAGGGACCAGAACCTCTGTGTCCCATCACAAAAAACCCACAGCACGTAGCGGAAAGGAGCTGCTCACCCTCGTCTGCCCCACGCACCTGCACCTGGCGCCGAGGGCAGCCCCCCGAAAGCGCCCCCGGGAGCACGGGGGCTGTGGCAGGGCTTCCCCTGCCGCGCAGAGAGCCGGGAGCGAGCACCGGCGGCTGCGGCTGCCCTTGTAGGGTAATGTCTGCTCGGAGCTACCTTGGCCGGGCGCTGGCGCCGGGGCAGGAATGTGTCCCCACGGGCCGAGTCGTTCGCCTGAGCTGCAGTGTGCTCGGAAGGAGAGCGGCACTGCACCTTTTGGTGCCGGAATCTCTCCAGATAGGATTTTTACAGCTCTGCTCCTTTGCTTTTTATGGATTTTTATTTTCCCCTCTCTCCTGTCGTTTTTTTTCCTGTGCGTGCACATGCTGTGCGTTAGAGATGGAAGAGCAGAGGGAAGCTCTCTGTGCTGCTGTATTGCCAAGGGGTGGGAGGAGGGTTTCCTTTCGTTTTTAATCCCAGGTTCTGGGGTCTCGGCTAAATCTTGGGGTGCCCTGGTGCAACGGGGGAGATGTGCAATTTTCCAAACTACGAGGGCTGCAGTATTTCCCTTGGTGGAGGGAGTGATGCGGGCTGGTGGCTGGAGCCTGCATCCCTTCAGCATCACCTTTTACAGGAACCCGTAAAGAGGAAATTCAAAAGCAATAAGGAAAAAGTCTCCCCAAAAGCCTGGGCTGTCATGGTGGAGAGTGGATCTTGTCAGAGATCATAGAATCATAGAATGGTTTGGGTTAGAAGGGACCTCAAAGATCATCTCGTTCCAACCCCCCTGCCATGGGCAGGGACACCCTCCACTACACCAGGTTGCCCAAAGCCTCATCCAACCTGGCCTTGAACACCTCCAGGGATGGGGCAGCCACAGCTTCTCTGGGCAACCGTACGGCAGGATGGGACAGGAAGGGGACAACATCAGGGTGAGGTGTTAGGAGAAGCACTGGGGCTGGCAAATAACCACTGGTGTGTCACCGGCGGGGACGGTTCAGCTGCTGAAGAGACACCCCTGTGACACAGAGGAGATGAATTTTGATCGTTATGATGAGATTTAATGCAGCGCGGTTGCCAGCATCCCTCCTCAGCGGTGCAGCCCGTAGCGCAGACGGATGCTGCCGTTGCAGCCATCAGTTTTATCTTGGGCCACGAGGGCCAGGTGCTCCAGCCAGCGCTGGGAAGAAATTTTGGCAGCAGTTGCGAAAAAGTTTTCCCTCTCTCTCTCCACTGTTATTTATGAGTTCCCCTGGCAGGGTGGCAGCGCAGGCAGCCGGCCGCCCCAGGCAGGACCCTGGTTTATCAAGGGCGCAATTAATGGCAGTCTCCTGCGAGATGTCGTTGGTGATGCATGCAGCGATGAAAGATAGAGAAACGGGGTCGAAAGATTCATGATAAGTGATTTTTCTTAACTCTTCTCAGAAAGTGCTGCCTTGTGGATTGTTTTCTTAGAATAAAAACTGTTCTGGGCAGCCAGAGCTGGCAGTGGAGTCTGTCCCAGCCCCGGGCTGAAGAGCAGCCGCTGCCTCAGGGGGCCCAGGGATGCTGCTTATTGACTCCTTGAAAACTGAGGATCTACTTGGTGTGAGTCAAGCTCGGGCAGAGATTTCAAGACTGAGCACTGTAATTTTCTGATTTTCCTTCAGGCCACATGTTGCCTATTACCTTCCATGTCCGATTCCATCCATGGAGAGGAGGGAGAAGGGCAGCCCTGGGGCTGGGCAGTGGCTGCAGTGTGTAGATTGGTCCTTGCTAGTTGTTTTGGAGGTACATATGGATGTAAATACATATATATAGCGTGTGTAATTGGTGTCAGCTTACGGAGCGATGCCATCCATCTGTCTGTGGCGGCGACAGTAAACTGATCCAGTAAATTATCTTTCTCCATGGAGCATTGAGGAGCTGAT